ACACACACACACACACACACACACACACTTTCAAACAAGCAGGCAATGTGAGTGTGGCACAGTCGTACTGACTGCAATAGTGACACAGGGACATGGCAGTGGAAAACAGCGTCTTAAGGCTAAAGTGTGTCCTGAATGATGGCTCCTACAGCTTCTCTAACTGTTTCCTCCCGTCACCTCATCAGGGACTTCATCAGGGACTGGACGTGTAATCACACTCACTCTGAACTCGACTCTTTCAATTGCGATAGTGTATCCCTAGGCCCTCATAGGAAGAGCTCTAAAACTCCTGGGAACCAAATAGTCTTTCTTGCACTCACTTTCCCTCTCTAAGGTTGCTCTCACTGAAACTGGGGTGATTTTTCCAAAATGGGAATCTAGCTCCACTAACCCTGCAAATGAGTTCTCATTATTTTGACTTCAGTGCAGAATTCTCCACTGTGGTCTGCAGATCTCTGCAAAGCTTAGCCAGCATTCTTCTCTTCAGCTTCCATGTAAGCTGTGCTCTCCATCAGACACACTGAGCTTTGTGCTTCTCTGTTCTGATAACCACACAGGAGCTGTCACGGTCTTGCCTCACCTAGTTAACATCTACCCATCCTCGAGCGTCACTTCCTGAAGGAGGCTTCACCCGCTAGTTGACTGGCCTCTTGGCACCCACCTTACTAGGGCAACTCATCACAGCTACCACACTTCCAATACTCACAAAATTAATGTTCATCGTTCAGTAAACAAACACACTGAGATCAGGATTGTGTCCCCAGAATCGTGCATAGAACCTGGCCCACCACAGACACTCAAATGTTGAACGTTATCGACATGCGATAACACTGGGGGAAAGTTTTCCAAGTGTCTTTGTGCAGTTGCCATGGAGTGAATGACAATAACAATGAGCAGGTGACTGTTGCTTAGGAAGGGCCGATCCACAACAAGAGAAGCGAGAACACAGGAGGTTGTATGCACAGCACCCAGGGCCACACAACTCACTCGGAGGAGCGCCCAGCCTTTCTGAAGCCCCAGCAACCGCTTTAACACCTACCAAAATGCCTAAAAGGTCAGTGTCTCTTGATTCTCCTTTATCGAGTTTCAGTGAACTTATAGACACATTTCCAACCTATTCATATCCATAGATTGCTAGCCACAATATTGAAAAATTGCTGTCTATTGCCACTCAAGTCCAGATTGAAATTAAAATGGAGAAACAAAGAGAACAAGCTTGAAGGTTTGCCAGTGAACTGAAAAGATGGAATTAACACAAAGATTTTTGATTGCCTCTTGAGAAATACATGCAAATTAAAATGGGTACTGGTTTCTAACATACAGCATAGTCTTCTAAAGTATCTATGATGGGGAAACTCACATTATTCAAATGTGTAAACTGGGTCTAACAAGTGAAAATTTTTCTTTGTCATGGAGTCCCATTTAGGATACCAACTTTACTTCCAAAAGCAGTTTTGGAACACCTAACAAGGACAAGGTACTCTGCCAGGCAAGAGGTGGGAGGTGTGGGGATGAACTGCAGAGCTCTGGCTTGTCAGGGTCTTCACTTGCTAATGGAGGAGACAGAAAATCAATCAGGGTGATAAAAACTAACATGTGCTATGTGGCAAGTGCACACTTTGAAAAGTGAAAAGATGGCACCTCTTCTATCCTGAAGATGCGTCATCATGGTGCAGAGGTTTCAGAAATCAGGAGGAACTCACAAAGAGACTGGAGGTCCTAATACACAGTAGAGGCAGGCAGCTAATTCCTAAATGAGAAAAGTGAATCCCCCAGCACACACACACACACACACACACACACTCACATTCACACACAAATAATAATAATAATAATAATAATAATAATAATAATAATAATACTCCTGCTAGTTAATGCCAGACCCAAAATTTCCTTCTAAGGAGGTGCCAATACTATTCTTTTGTTGACCACATTCTATAGTTCTTTTGTCTTTCCAGCCATCTGGGGATGAGAATGTGAAATCATGCAAATTTTGATTTACCGTTCATGACGTAGCTGCCCTCTTCTTGCCTTCTGGAGCTACTTTCCCCCGACTGCAGATCAGCCCAAATGCTTATCTGACACGTAGTCCCCACCCTCTTCGCTTTATAAGGGTCTAAATCTCGGTGTTTTCTGGTCCTAATCCTTGACTTCAGCCTTCCCTTCCCTCACTATCTCCTTTCTCTGTTTTCCAACTATGTGCCATGTTTGAGTTCCTCTATCAAGCTGTGTTTTCTCTTACTTCAGGGCCTCAATGCAGTGTTCCCTATGCTGGAAGCATTCCTCTCTCCCTTTACTGATTCCATCGGCTCATTCCATTACCCTGATCATAGACAAGGTTAGCCCTTCTTTTCTCTTTGTATGTACTTCTGTTTATCTGTGCTGCATTACCTTTTGATATCTGTTTTTGCATTTAAGAGAATATGTCTCTACTACCCACCAATGCACCTACCTCACTCCTGGATTAGGTAGGTAGGCCAAATAGCTAGAGCAAGCATACTTAAAGAGTTAGCATTCTATAACTGTTCTATAAACAAGAAGTTATTTTTCCAGCTTTCATCTGAGTTCTAGGTCTGTGACAGCTTCACTCCTCACAGCCATGTAGGAATGTGGAATGATGGAAGGCCTGCCACCTACAAGTGGCTTCCCAGTGCTAGTACTGTGGCCTTCCATCTTCCCAAGGCACAGAGAAGCTCACAGTAAGGTGTTCTCCTTTGTCCCTTTCCAAGTTGAAGGAACTTAAGTCACAGGGCTTTATAAGAACCAGGACTATGTGGATATGTGGGCTACAGCCAACCACAGTCTACATAGTGTTTTATGGCAACTATGGAAGTAGACGCAAGAATGCCTGTCTTAGTTAGGGTTTCTATTATTATTATTAAAAGCAACTCTTACAAAGGAAAAACGTTTAATTGAGGTGGCTTACAGTTCAGAGGTCAGCCCATTATCGTCAGTGTAGACATGGTGCTGGAGAAGGAACTGAGAGTCCTACATATTGATCCCACAGGCAACAGGGAGTGAACTGTACTAGGTATAGTTTGAGCATAGGAGACCTCAATGCCTGTCCCCACAGTGACACAGCTCCTCCGATAAGGCCACACTCACTTCAACAGAGCCACACTTCCTAATAATGCCACTCCCTATGAGCTCATGGGGGTTAATTACATTCAAACTACCACAATGCTCCAATAGAAGGGTCAAAGGACATCTACTAAAAACAATCATTTTAAATCATGTGTCACTTTATTCAGAGATCAGTGTCCAAATTCTGAAAAATCAGTTTCTTTTATTTTGTTTGCAGTGTTTCAATATCTAAACAACTGGCTTCAATAAAAGGTAAGGCATGGAATGGTTGAAATATGTGTGTCCCTTCTGCTCCATAACAGCAGGCCAACAGTTAAAATTAATAGGATCAAGAATGCCTGAGATGTGAGAAACTTCTGGATAAGCATGAATGCTTATAAAACTCTTTCTCTCTCTATGTTATTTGTATTTATACACTTGGAGTGTTTAGGAAGCAGCAATGTAGGGTAAGTACATATGTGTATTTATCAGCAAGGTAGGAGAGTATTAGGGGAATTGTTGGCTTGGGGAATATGGAATAGGGTCCTAGTAACTGTCATTACGGCCTACACTATCATTATGGGCTTGGGTCCATGGTGTCTGTTCCACAAGACTCCATGTTTTCACTCGCAAAAGTCACTTATATGAAGAGAAATTCTAAAATGAGGTGATTCTTACACCTCACAGTGTTGAGGATGGTATTTCTATGATACTAACTTGTTAGGAAATCACTATATCCAGGACTTGTTTAGTGTTCCATGCTTTAGGGAAAAACAGGAGACACATGTGAAAAATGACTGAAGTTGTCAGTCCAGTTTAGCACACATATTGCGTGTATTCTGAGACCCACAGTATACCGGGGCCTAAGAAAATTTGTGAAAGTAATTACAATGCTGTCACTGCTCTCAGAAGGCATACAGCCTGAACCTGAGCTATCCCACATGGTGTGCGTCAGCCACAGGGAGCTACTGAGGACTGGTGGGGTGATTAATTTGAATAGAGATTTTAAAACTGAAAGAAACTAATAAATAAGGAGTATAAAATCTTTTATGAACTTAGTATTAACTACCTTTTGAAAATTTTAATATATTGAGTTGAGTAATATATATTATTAAAATCACTTTGGCTCTTTTCTTTCTAGTCTTTTTAATTTGTCTCTGAGAAAGTTTTAAATTAGGATTGTGGTTTGCAGTGTATTTCTTTGGGCAATGGTGATCTAAGAGACAACTGAGATAATATAGAGTTTCGAGTGTGAGAGTTAAAGAGATGCTATCTGTGTTCAGGGAATAAGGGAAGGACATCAGAGGGACCTGTTGCCCCTTCTGAGGGTTTAGGAAAGAGTCCTGAAGAATACAGCTGCCTGAAAAGCAGCACTTAGAGACAGTGAGCATTCGAGAAAAGAGCCAGTTCTGTTTTCTGACTTTGGGTAAGTTTCTTAATCTCTCCATGTCTCAGCTTCCTCTCCTATAATCTGAACCTCCCTCCAAGGGTTGACACTGAGTGAGTTGAGTCACATTCTCTCCCCGGGAGGAGTGTTCACTTCTGGGACCTCCAAGAAGTCAATGTTGTTCGAAGTCATTCACTGTGCTGGCCCAGGATGAATGCTGGATTTTACATACCTGTGAGATGCATGCATAAGAATGAACTGCGCAAAGTTCAAAATTCATTTCAATGGACTACCAAAGAGAAGAGGGTAACACAAAGCAGTCTAGAAGAGCTGCCTTTCAGACATCCACATCCCAAATCCCAAAGACAAGAAAGCCAATAAAAGACGCCAAAACAACAACCTTTGCTTTTCTAACCCCACAGGCCCCTTCCAATATGCTTCCCATATTAATTCACACATCTATAAGAGGCAACCTGCTGGTTTATTAAGGGAAGAAACAAACTGTAAAGACAGGACATGAAAAAGCCTCAGGAAAATATCATCAGTCGTGGTAGGACAAACAAGTCTTTGCTATCTTTTCTTATTTTAAATATTTCTAGTTCTGTTTTTACCATGAGCATATGCTATTTTACAGTTGGGAGAAAGATGCATGCTGTCTTTTAAGAGAAGTAGGATATGAACGAGAAGTTGGATAGCCCAGATGGAGTCCCACTTCAGAGAACAGCCAGACATGCCCTTCACCAGGGCTGGAAATGCCTAGCTTCACAACTATCACGGATGACCTCACACAGACATATCCCAAAGTAGCTGACATTTCTGTCAGCTTTCAGACAAACCCTTAAGCCTTTCAGTCCTCATCTCTTAGCAGTGTGACTTTACTATTCTTAATCTCTCCAAGCACAAGTTTTTAATGTATAAAACTAAGACACAAATATTACCCACCCCTGAGGGTTTGAGGAAGCATTAAATAGGATTATGTTTGAAAGGCACCTGAAATATGTGTAGTAACAATGGAAGGTGCCCATCATTATTAACAAACTCAGTCGGAGCCTGGGAATTACTTCTTCCTCACCAGGCAGGCACATCCAGCAGAGTACCACCAATTCCTGTCCTCCAAGAACAGTCTCAGGCTCAGCAGAGGAGCTCTCCCTACACCATATCCAGTTATTCTTGATTATTGATGAATGAATCTATCAGTTAAAAGTATCCATATATTTTTTCCATGTATTTTTTCTAAAGAAATAATGTGTTTCATCCAGGCAACTGCTTCTTCCAAACAAGACTGTGTTTATATAGAATTCATTCTTGAGCATCTTAAATGTAAGGTTAAAATTATTTTTAAAAAATGGAGCAAGCTGAGAGAAAGCACCACTGCACATGTACACATGTGCATGCACACACATATGGACAGACAGATTGGGACTTAAAGGAAATATGCCCATCCCCCAGTACTTAATGTTAGACACTTGAAGAGATAAACATATGGGCTCCTGGAAGTAGCAGGGATCAAGGAAAGAGATGGCTAGGAATGGGGTAAGAAAGAGCTAAGAATAGAGAGGCATTTTCCTGGGGAAGATGGCCTGTCAGATCTGGGTAAGCAGAAGATACAAGCAGAAAGCACAAATCACAAAAGCACAAAATTGAGAATCTGAAACTGAAAAGGAGGCCAAGGAGGAAGAGGTTAAAATGAGTTTTACAGCCATTTACTCAACAAATTTTTGCAAGATTCCTACTTGCATTTGGAACCATCCAAAGTGTTACAGATTCAACAGGAAGCAAAATGAGCAAACAGTTCCCTGGGTACATTGGCTCATGTGTCTGGCATTTCCAATGCCAGCTCCCCATTTACCAGTAGCCTGACACTAGCAAAATCCTGTCTGTTCTTCACTGACGAAATGACAGAGTCAGGGAGAAGCCTTGTGCTCGTGGATTTGAAAAGTCAACCCAGATTGGCAATGGTTGTCAAGATAAAAACATTAATTTGCCTCTCATTGGTTTCTAGTGCAATCTGTATTAAATTTCAGCAACGTTTCTGAAGACAGGCAGGATTATCCTAAACTTTATTTGGAAAGAAAAGGCCCAAGAATAACCAAATAATAGCCTAAAATAATCAAAACAATATTGGCAAAGGATGAAGCAACAAGAACCACTTTATTCTCCTCATTGGTGAGATTTTGTTTATAGTTATGGCAACCAAGATGGTATAGTGTCAGCAAAGGCAAAGATCATAGGCTCAAGAAACAGACCAGAGATCTGAAAAATTCCCACATGCACACACACACTCTCACTCACACACTCATTCTCACATAAATACACACTCACACATTTACACATTCTCTTTCTCACACCCACATGCACACATACACACACGCACACACTCATTATTTACTTACATTTTTAGGATGCTGGACTATGACCAATATTTCTTGGTCATTTGCATTTCTTCCTTGAGCATTGCTCTTCAGTCCATTAGTCTACTGACTCACTGGCTGACTTTTTAAGTTGAGTTTGAAGGTCTTCCAGGTTCCCGCCTGTCAGGCACAAACTCTCCTCGGTTCTGTAGGGCAGCACATTTCTTTGGCGATTGTTTCTGTTGCTGCACAGTGTTTTCCTGTCACCTAGTCCAGTCTGACAATTTTTACGCTTATTTGCTGTGCTTTTGTACTCAATTTCAGAAAATTTTCAGCTGGGAATAGTGGTCCACACCTTTAATCCCAACACTAGAGAGGCAAAAGCAGGTTGATCTCTGAGTTCAAAGCCAATCTGATCTACAGAATGAGTTCCAAAGCAGTCAGGGCTACACCGAGAGCCTGTCTTCAAAAAAAAATCGTCTATGCCAAGATCTTGGAGTGTTCTGCCTGTTTTTCTCTAAGTTTGGGTCTTAAATTAAGGTTTTTTATTTTTTTTCTCTGCCTTATGTTTTTTCCCTTTTCTTTTCTTTTTTTTAATTTTTATGTGAATGGGCTTTTTCCTGCATTTATCTGTATACCATGTGTATGCCTGATGCCTGTGGAGGCCAGAAGAAGATGTTAGATGCCCTGGAACTGGAGTTACAGACAGCTGAGCATCATTAGTCATGGAAACACAAATAAAAGGCATACTGAGATATTACTAATACCTACCAAGAGTGGCTACATTAAAAAATAGTGCCAAAGCCAAATACTGGAAAGATAGAAAAAAATACATGTTTTTCACATTAGTAAATATATGAAAGCCAAATATATATGTATATTCATATGTATTCTCTTTATTAATATGTATTTCTCTAGTAAATCATAACATGTATATGAGCAGAGATCACATCTAATCTTGTCACCTCAGTGTTCTGAGCCTTGCTCTACCATGGATTCTTTCAATCCATGACAGTTGCACATTGCTTGGGCTGAAAGCTGTGAGATTTTTTCCTTTGCCTCTTAGCCATTTACTCAACAGCATTGACTAGCCCTACTACACAGCAGACATTGGGAATATAGGGGGAAAAACAAAGATGTGTCTTTTGGCTTTATGAAAAGTGTTGTCTAGTTGGAGAGAAAGGTAAACATGCCATAGCTGTAAGGTGTGATTGTCTTATCCTTTCTAGATGGATTGGTGACTAAGGTGCAAATGGCTCCTTTTGAAACTCTCTGTGTGCAATGGGTGCTGCCCCCAGGAAGGAAGGAACTAGCACTGCCTTCCCCACCAAGGATCCTAAATTAGAGAAACTAACCGGAACATTACAGTGTTTGAGAAAAAGATGTGTTGTGGATGTTATTAGCCACAGATTACTCTGATGTCATTCCCCTTTATCATAATCACATATAAAGTGACACCACATCTAACACAAAATAGAAACTGCACAAGAGTAGGACTTGAAGTCTTTAGGTGAGGTATCTTTAATACCAAAAGCTAAGCTCAACATGCAGTAGGTGCTTGGTAAATATTTGTTGAAGAATTGAATGAAATTACATCTCAGAAAACCAAGGCTTCCTGAAGTGAGGGGCTTTCCCAGGGACACATGGCAAGCAGGAGTCAAATCTCAACCCAACTCTAACTCAAATGCTATGAAAGGAATCCTTAAAGACATAGGATCAGATAACGCCGAATCACAACATGGCCACACACTGGGTCACACTGACAATCACATTCCATACTTATTTCCCCAGTTCCCTTGGAAGACACAGCCCCCTTGTCTACACAAAGCACCTCTCTTCTTCTGATTCTTCACTCAATATTTCTTCTCTCACAGCTTTGAAGAAAGGCTCAGATCTCGAAAAAGCCATTGCTACTGTCGCTCTGATTTTCAGAAACTCTTCCGACCCTGATGGTAAACTTGGGAAAGCCACTGCCAAGAATCTGCTACAAACCCAATTTAGGAATTTCACAGAGGTAAGAGAATTCACCAGCATGCATAAACAAGGCTCACACCGAACAGCAAAGAATTCCAGTCCCAGGATGCCATCCAATTATTTCAATCAACAAACATTTATTGAATATCTCCTGTATGTAAGTTGTCTAATTTACTTGATGAACAAGCTAACGTGTGGGCACCGTGGCCCACAGCTACAATTTCAGCTGAGTAGAGGATGTAGCAGAACAGTAGAACACTGGGACCATCTTGGGGTAAGAAACCAAAGAAGGGATTCTGAACATTAAAATACAGATATTTGAGATGTGAGCAAGAGTCACTTATTATTTTCTTAAATTTTTCTAATGCCTTCTACAGTTGGCTAACCTGATATCATATGCACATGCTCATACTTTGAGCAATACTGACCTACGGAAATCTTATAAGAAACAAAGAAGGCTACTTCCAAGCCTAAACCACCAATATTTACTCACAGAACAAAAAAATATAAAAATTGTCTATAAGTTCCTAGTATGCTCTGAGATATAGATGACTATTGTATTTCTGTAAGTAGTGTATATATAATAGAAGAGAATAGAATAGAATTCTGTGAGTAATATATATAATACATATTACAGAAATATATATATATTAGTTTAGTATACTAAATCATATAAGATACTATCGAAGTGTCTCTCATGCATATGAGTATGTGTGTGTGCAAGTGTGCATGCATGGTATAATATACCAAAAGAAAAAAAAAGATGGGAGGGATCTTGAGAGATGGCTCGGTAAGTAAAACAAGCATGAGGACCTGACTTTGAATTCCCATAACCCATATAAATGCAGGGAGAACAGCACATATATGTAATCCCAGCACTCCTGGAGTGAGATGGGAGGTGGATACAGGAGAATCCCAGGAAGCTCTCTGGCCAGCTAGCCTGGTGTACAAGAGACCCTGATTCAGACAAGGTGGAAGATGAGGATGAACACCTGAGGTTGTCTTCTTACTTCTAAATGCACACTGTGTTCTCAACCTTCCTAATGCTGTGACCCTTTAATATAGTTCCTCATGTTGTATCCCTTGCCGTAAAATTATTTTCATTGCTACTTCATAACTGTAATTTTGCTACCATTATTAATTGTAATATAAATAGCTGTGTTTTCTGATAATCTTAGTCGACCCCTGTGAAAGGTTTATTTGTCCCCTAAAGAGGTCATGACCCACAGGTTGAGAATCGCCACTCTAAACTCTCTGTGGAGCCCTCTGGTAAACTATGTGGCACCTTTTTGCTAAGCCTAAGTCCTAAAGAGAGCATTACCTTCCTTATAAGCCTAAACACAATGCCCAGTCTTAACATTTAACCACCAGTAAGATATAACAAAACTAGCACCAAGAAACACTGTCAAGAAGATACTAAAAGAAGGTGATTGGTTAAACCTTGAGTAACTAGTGCTTAGCCAGTTCCCTGGCAGGACAGAGGGAGAAGACAGACCTACATGCTTCCATGACCTTTGGGAAAACTGGGAAGTACCAAAAGGAAAGCCTTTTTATTGAACTCTGGCCCTTTCCAAGTAGTACTCTGCTTTCTTTTTGCAAATGGGTCAAGAGCTCTTTTGGCTCTAGCTGAAGATACGACCTGTGGGGACAGCCAGCCTAGAGAAAAAAGGATGGTTTAGACTGTAAAAGAAATATATCTTCATTCCAAAAATGTCTCAAGCATTCCTGCGATTTTTGCAGCCATTTCATGGATAAGCATTTGTGGTTAAACTAAATGCACACACCAGCTCTGTATCAGAGTGACTCAAAATGACTTTTTTTTGCTTAATGTCAAACCTTCCAGCTGTTGTTTGAAATGTTTGAAACTGAAAATTCTCTCCATTTATAAGCTGTTCAGATGGTTTTCTGCAATCTGTGTATGACAGCTATGAGCTTGCATATGATTGACAATCAGACTAAATGCTGAACTATCACACAAAGCAATGTACTTTCTTCTAGCACATTTTATTCTGTATTTCAGAATAATCTCACTGTCCAGAGAATGCATAAAAGGTACTGCCTATAGTTAAAGAGATTATATATTGAAAATCTGAAAACATAGGAAGTTCTGTGTCTCAATAAAGGCAGAATAACTTACTAGTTAAAAGTGTGGTTCTGGAATCAGGCTGATAAGACCTCAAATCTTGGCTTTACAGCAAAAGCTGCTAACTTTGAGACAAGTACTGATGGTTCACTCACAGCTGGGGTGTTGTAGAAGTACATACACAGTAAGACCACTGTATGGATTCTCAGAGACACATCATGAAAGATTTTGTGTGATGGCACTGCGCATGCTATACTGTTAATAACATACTTAGTATTCATTACCGCCTCTCAATACAAAGTCTAGGAACATGATAGACTCAATTATTCTTTATTCTCAGGGAGAAGAAAGCAAGCCAAAGTACCAAGACATCCTTTCTGAGCTGGATGAACACGCAGAAAACAAGCTGGATTTCGAGGACTTCGTGATCCTGCTCCTGAGCCTTGCCATCGTGTCGGATCTGCTACAAAATATATTGAGTGTGAAAATTACAAAATGAACAACTGTAAATATGTGAATGGACAAAGTAATCACAAAAGCAAGTGCCACATGACAAGATGTTCCTTTCAGATATGTAATGAATGTGGGATGATTCACACTGGTGACATTCACTCAGTGTAACTCCAAACATTTCAACACTTCTTAGAAATGCCCAAATAATATAATTTTCAACATGATAAGTTAATTGATTGCCATTTTTGATGAGTGAGTAGTAACTTAGAGATTTTTTTGTACTGAATGTAGAATCATTCATTCATTGATCATACAATGGTATTTGTGAGCATTTACTTAGTAACATTGTTAAAAATACAGTAACAAATGGCCAGATAACCTCTTCCCTTGCTCATGTTTACATAATTCCAGAAGAACTAGATATACAACAATAATTTGTGTGTGTGTGTGTGTGTGTGTGTTTGTGTGTGTACTTGTGTGAAGGCAACTGTACATATACATATGGAAATCAGAAGCCACTCTCCAATGATGTTCCCCAAGTGCTGTCTACCTTGATTTTTTAGCTTTCGCTGGCCTGGGGCTCACTGGGAGGCTCGACTTGGCTGGCTGTTCAGTGATTCCCCAGTGCTGAGATTCCCCACCACCTTGGCTTTTGTAGGTGGGTCCAGGGATCAAACTCAGACCTCATGCTTGTCTGGCTAGTGCTTCACCAATGAACCATTTTCCCAGCTCTGAACAACTAGTTAATTGGTTTAAAACACATGATAATTATAAATAAGGTAAGGCTTACACAATGCTAGCAGAGTTTATTACGAGATCTATCTTCAAAGATCAGACCCTTCCTGATCTATAAAAGAAAAAAAAAATCAGACCTTCCTGACCTATAAGAAAAAAAGAAATGCTGAGTGGTTCCCAGGATCTGAGTTAGAACTGAGACTGTTTACAAACAGACACATGGGAGATTTTAAATGGAAGGCAGCAGCCCCTATCTTGCTGGTGGTGGTGGTAGTTATATGAATGAATAAATGCATTTGTCAAACTCTTAAAACTTTACACTAAAGTGGATGAAGTACATTGTATGAGATTGTGAATTATGGCTAAATAAACATGACTTGCAAAAACCTACCAGGCATTGTAATGCACACTTATAATCCCAGCACTTGAGCAAAGAAGGATCAAGAGTTCAAGGCAAGTCTTGACTGTGATACATAAGACTACACACACACACACACACATATACACACACACACACACACACACACACACACACACATACACACACTTCAACAGCTGTGGAATTTGACTGTTTTTTAATCAACATGTTCTAATACACTTTAACATTATGTTCTAAAGTGGTCATATTCCAAAGACCCACACATTTCTATGGCTACCTCCTATATTCCTGCCTTGAAATTACACACATGAACATTAACATATGTATTCACACACACAAACACACACATACATCATGCTGAATCCCTAAGATGGATTTTCATAAAAACTTTTATTCATGCCTGAGGAGTGAGGCCTGCAAGGGGTCAGCTTGGTAGGTGGTGACAGGTATTCAGGTTCCCTCAGAAAGGTCACTGGGCAGCAGGCAAAACACAGCCTTCCTTGACCATGTGTCCTCACACATGCCTTTTTCTTCCATCTTTAGAGAGGACTAATCATGCACTTCCCAGTCACATGATGGCTTAGGATCATCCAAGGGACCCATCCAGGTCAGAATCGCAGTGCAGGGAAGGAGAGGGGTGTCCTTGTGTTGTGATCACAGCTACACGTCACAGTGCTCAGTACCTGGCATTTACCACACGTGTGCTACCACCTGATCCTTAGAGAAAGGCACAGGGGAAGAGCCGCAGTATTTGTCTCCCAGAAGTTAGTAGCTAGCAAGTCCCTTAGGGAAGATGTTGCAGTTTTTTGCTGGGCTTATTCTTGACCATTCTGCAAAATACCTGGTAGAAGTGTGTCTCTCTGCTGCCTGACAGGCAAATATGTCTAGGCTTTAGCCAGTGTCTTAGTTAGGGTTCTCATTGCTGTGAATAGACACCAAGACCACAGTAACTCTTATAAAGAAAACATTTAGTTGGGGTGGTTCACTTACAGTTTCAGAGGTTCAGTACGTTATCATTATGATGGGAAGCATGGCATCATGCAGGCAGATATGGTGCTGAAACTGAGAGTGCTACATTTTGCAGGCAACAGGAAGTCAACTGACTCACTGGGCAGTATTCCAAGCATAGGAAACCTCAAAGGCCACCCTCACAGTGACACACTTCCTCAAATAAGGCCATACATACTCCAACAAAGCCATACCTCCTAATAGTGCCCCTCCCTATGAGATTATAGGGCCAGTTACATGCAAACTACCACAGCCAGCATCATCTAAAACAGACTGATATGATCTCGTTCCGGGTAGAAGGTTTGTCAGCTTGGGCTTCTAGTTCTCTGGGCCCTGGGCTAACAACTAGGAAAAGTCCCAAGGAGGCTGCTCTACCACCCTGGGTCCTGAGAGGGGCTGGGTGAGAAAAGAATCCCAAACAAACAGATGTGTCATTTAAGTGTGAAATAAATCTTTTTTAGACAGATAAAATACATTTATTCATTTTAAAGTTATTATAACTTCCTGAATCTTTTTCTCATGTTCCATATTCTCTACAGACCAACACTGCCAGGATCAAACACATATAACATGAAAACCCTTTCAAAAGAGATAGCACCTTTAACACCCTTTAGCCCAGTGAGGTGCAGCCCCTTCCAATGATGGACCAAACCCTCGAGCCCAGTGAGGCACAGTCTCTTCCAGTGATGGACTGAATCCATCAAATCCCAGTCCTTGGCTCTCTCCTTCCCAAACCTCACATTTCAGCCTAAAACCTTAGGCTACATAAAGAAAACCTTCAAACTTGTTCACTCTCTCAAGATTTTAACAGAAGGTAGGTGTGTTCAACCAGAACATTCAAATTCAATTATCTAACAAAAGAAGAAAAGAAAATTCATTTCTTTGTGTCCAGCTTTCAAATTCTTCCTACTTTTAAGCTATTTGTTTAGAATTAAGGAGAAGAGAAAAATAGAAAATGTTTTTCTTTAATCAATTTATTCTCAAAAATGAAAGGGCTTTTTTTTCCTCTAATTTGTTTTCTACAATTTGGAGTTTTGACTGGAATACAGCTTTGGTTAAAAATTCCATGTATTTTTTAAATTTAATTTCTTAATTTTTGAGAATCTCAAATATTAATACTGTATTTACATCATCTCTACCCCTCCTTCTCCCCAACAACTCATTCTGTATCCCCCACTGCTTCTCAAATTATCTATCTCTTCTCTTTTAATTATTATTGTTTTACACACACACACACACACACACACACACACACACACACACACACAAACATGTATGTGCAGAGTCCATTTAAAGTAGCTTGCATATATGTTTAGGACTGACCACTTGGGACTGGAAACCTATCAAGAGCTCATTCCTGGAGAAGAATGATTCCTCCATCTCAGCAGCCATTGATTGCCTGTCTGCCTATAGCACTTTATCTGAAGGTGTGGACTTGTTGGTATGTTGGTATGTCAACTGGTGTTACCATTGTCCAAGTGTTGTTTTGCAACCATATTCTTGAGATTTCATGGCGACAGCTTCCCTGTCACATGTAGAAGACTGTCTCACAGCAGACATCCTCGTCCTCTGTCCCTTACAATCTTCCTTCCCCTTCCTCTGTAATATTCCCGAAGGGTGTAGAGATTGTGTTATACATGTGTTGGTTGAGTTTGGGAACCCCATCGTCTGTTGTTCTCTGTGTTTTTACCAGTGCTAGCTTTTTGAAATAGTCTCCATCTTTAAAAAAAAAATGCTTTTTCCTGAGGGGTGAGAGTTACACTTATCTGTGGGTATAAAATAAGTTTTCAGAATGTAGTTAAAAATTATATTGGTTGATAAAATGGCAGTAGTAGCTTCTCCTCTAAGGTTCATGACCTCACTATCCAGGTAGTTGGGTTACAATCCAGGCATGAATTCCTTCCTATTAAGCAGATTTTAAGTCCAGCTAGACAGCTATTGGTTACCTCCAAGATATAAGTGCCACTATTGCACCACTGATTTCTTACTGGCCTTGTCACTGTTATGGTTTGTCAGCTTTAGAAGTGGGTAAGCCTATTGATTGCTAGTAAAAATTAGAGTGTATTAACTATATAAAATAATGGTTTTTCATACATGTACATAATATATTTCTTCATATTCAGCCCTCTATTTGTCTCTTTTGGATATGCACAGGGATGGCATGGTGTTATTCTAGGGCTTAAGAAACAGTAACTCCTTTAACCTTGAAAGAAGCTGGTGGCATGGACACTGTTACCACTGCCTCAAGGATAAGGAAACTGAAGCACAAAAGTTTTGATCTTTCCCAAAGCTACACAACTAGCAGGTGTAAGAGTTCTCTGCTTTAATATTAGATTTCATTGTGAGCAATAATATTATAATTCAACAAAAATAGCTGTGCACATTTCAGGCACTGTGCAAGAGACTGAAGAACCAGCTGGGCCCTGGAGAACCATTTGGCATTCCTCAAATAGAATCCTGTGGGCTGTCCTTCTGCAAAGCCCTTTGTGTCTCAGTCACAAGTAGCTGAATATGGCAATCTTGATGACCAATCAAAAGGTCAAATTCACACCTTTCAGGAAAAGAAATATGAGAGCCTGGCCAGTGGTGTGATGAAGAATCTTGGAGTCATTCCAGCACTCTGGGCTCCCAGTAAGACTTTTCAGATTTCTATCCCAGATGGAAAGCCACACTCCTCTGAGGGCGCTATCAATTACAGAATCTATTTTTGTCTGATGCAAAGACTGAAAACAGAGCAATAGCATGTGTATGTTGAAGCTTCGATGACAGATAAATCAAGGGATATGATGTTCGGATAAGTGAGGAAGTTCCACTCCTTTAATCTAGTCCCAGGAGCATGACATACATGTTTAAAAGGTGCCACATCAAAAATGTTGCTGACCATCATAGGTGGGTCTGTGGCACAGATCAGTCTTGGATTCCTTCAGTTTCAAGGAATAATATCCACTATCATTATCCATATAAACAAAGGAAAAAATGGGTGAATTTATTGAGGAACAAGGGCCTAGAACAAAATGAAGGGGCAGAGAATGCAATGAAAGACCACAAACACTGGAAGCAAAAATAGAAAGGAAAATTGAGGTTTCCCTTTTCACTCTTTTCTCCACATTCTGATTATCTGCATTTTCTTCCTCTGTCTCTGTGTGTATCTCTATCATACATCTATCTGTCATCTATTCATCTGTCATCTATCCATCTGTCATCTATTTCTCTATAATCTATTTATCTACCATCAATCTGTCATCTATATATCTATCTCTTTCTGTCTAGCTAGCATCTATCTATCTACCACTTATTTATCTATCATCAATCCATCATCTATCTGTTATCTATTTATCATCAATCTATCATCTATCTATTATCTATTTATCTGTCATTTATCTATCATTCATCTATCTATCATCTATCATTTATCTGTCTCAATCTCTTCACTAGTTTTTTTCTTGTTCTTCATACAAGAGCCAAGTAAAACATGATTATTACTTACTAAATAGCATCTTTGTAGCCCCAAAACCAGTCCTCAGAAATAGAATTCAATTAGATAAGGATAAGTAGGAAGTGTTCCTGGTCCTATTATTGTGTAGGGTCAGGGAGACAAGTCACATGCCAACTGAACAGGCGCCTTAGGAGTCAATTCCTCAGACAGCAATTTAAAGCAGGATATCAAAGAAGGAAGAGAAAAGGTAAGAAGAAGAGGATTGGCTGAGGAAATTATAAGACTTTCTAGAAGAAAATCCATAGTTTGTACTAGAAAGACCGCTCTGTTCATTTCCCAGCTATGACCTCAACCAAGTTTCTTGATGGAACAATTTCATTCATTTTCACCAGTGAAACCTTTGTTCATTGTCATTGTATAAAGGAAACCAACCTGAACCTCCCTGGGAAGTTTTCCCATGATTAATTATAGCCAAGACATTCCTCCACAAGGGCTGTGACACCCTTGCAATTTTCTAAGCATGACAGGAACATACGCAATCCTGGAACCCCTAATTTTCTTTATTTT